AAGGCACCCTGAGCTCATTGCACTGTTACAGGGGTCAAATGGCCAGGGAAAGACACCCTGAGCTCCCTGCACTGTTACAGGGGTCAGAGACAATGGCCAAGCCCAGGGGAGATGGAACCTCGTGGAACAGGCAGGTCTGAGCCCCTGCCCAGCACAACACACACATCTGTGACTCCCTGTGTGCCTCTGGAGTTTCTAACTTTACTCAAGAAATTAGCTGACAGCAGATGTCAGTGCATTATACACAGACCCACAGAGCAGAACCACTGGAAAACATTAATCCGGTGGGAAACAGATTTCCAGGGCTGTGCTGAGAAACATTTGATACACAACTATGGCATTTTCACTACAATAACCAGGATTTTGCTACACAACCCTTTTTGGAGGCATCTTCAAAACGGACACTTAGATGCCTTTAAAGAAATTTCTGCTCAACCCTGCCAGAAAAGAAAAACAACTTTGTTCTTCCCGATCATCTCCCCTGAGAGCTCCTCTCTCCTGCAAAGGATACAAATCCAGCCAGCACTATCCAACAGGAACAGGATCCCTCTGCAGAAGCAGGAATCTGTTATTCTCCCCAAAACCTCTGGAGGCAAATCCAGGGTGAAGCAGTCACAGGTCTCTGAGGGGGAGTCTTCCCCAGGAAAGGTCAGATGCACAAGGATGAACTGGTTGAGCAGAAGTTTGCACTTGTTGTTTCCAAAAGACAGAATCTTCATAGAGAAAACTGAAGGCAGACCTGTAAATTTAAACATATTATAGGATTACAGCCAGCTGGAAATTTCGATTTGCAAAGGAACTCCAAGAAAATGACAGCTCAAATTCATTCTCTCTGCTACCATCTTAAAAAATTTGGGATTGGGGAGGGGGGTTTGTTTTGTTTTAAACCTCACTCTCTATGTCACTGATTTTGGAACAGTTTCCTAAAACTTTTATGTGTTTTTTTAAGAGGATAATGCTGTGAAGAACACAAAAAATCATCCCAAAATAATATTTCAGTCAGCACTGAAAATAAAAGCTACAAACTTCAGAAATAAAAATATTTTAGGAAGGGAGACTGTTTAAGAACATGTAAAACACCAAAGGTCCTGCAAAGTGTAACTGTACACTATGTTTGCTAATCATAAAACATAAGGTTAAACACTTAATCAGTCTCTGCTGGGTTAGTGAGGAGTCCTGTCTCTGTTTTCTTACCATCAGTTCTAATATTAAGGGGAAATTTGAGAGGGCAGGGTAGCTTGAACATGCTTAATTAAAACTTATTTTTAATTTCATATCACCCAAACTTGTGACCCTACAACGGTTTAATTCCCTCTACCAATGTCACCTTCAAACATAGAAATGTCCCTTTTAATTTTCCTGACACTTCCCTAGTGCTCAATCCCACTGCCTGCATTTGTCCCAGCACAGAACCAGATCAGCAACAATTTCACACATGGAACACACTGGAATTTACTCACTAATGTTTTTAACTTCAAGGAGCTTTTTAAGTGTCTCTTCCTTACAACTGTGCAGGGAGGTTAGGCTGGACTTTCCATCTTCTACAGAGAGTTCATAGACAAACAGTCCATGACTTTGTCCAAGAGCCAGGAGTTTTGACTTGTTTTCTTGCAAACCATCATCTTCTGTGTCCTCCCACATGAAGCTGGAGATACAACATCCAGGAGGGTTATTGGCTTTATTTATTCTCTTCCCACATTTCCCACACTGACAGTTCTGGCTGTGCACTGATGAAAAGCAGCACCACTTAACCTTCAGATGAAGACTCTGCTGCTGTCCCCCTGTCCCTGCCAACACCACAACACCAGATCTGTCCTCTTGCTCGGGCTGAGAACTCCCCCGGTGCATCTCAGACCTGCCCTGGGAGGGTGGGAGGAGGCACAGAGGAACCAGCTCAGGGTGTGCAGAGCGAGCACAGAGTAGAGCCCTGCAACGGCACTGAAACATTCCCACCCTGGAATGCTCCAAGGGACAGGCTGGACGGGGCTCGGAGCAGCCCGGGACAATGGAAGGTGTCCCTGCCCACGGCAGGGGTGCCACTGGATGGGCTTTAAGGTCCCTCCCAGCCCAAACCATCCCGTGACTCTGTGGTGCTCCGAACAGTGCTGGTGTTGCAAAACACCGCAGATGTTCCGAATTCAGATGTGACTGCAGTTTTGACTCAGCACTAAAAGCCACTAAAGCAGGTCACGAACACCACGTGAGTGACTGTCACCCACGGGGGGCAGGGCTGCAGGTCAGGGCACTGCGGGGTCCGAAGAGACGACCTGACAGACAAATTCCCTTTTCGTTTGCTTTGGCTTTTTGATCACCCATAGTGAACTCTCCCACAGCTAAACAAGTAAGGAGATGTAAAACAACGTCCTCTGCAGCACCGGGGCGTTACGGAGCCTGTCCCGCTTCGGGGCAGGTTCGCAGCCCCTCAGCCCCCGCACCCCCGACTGTTCGCTCCCCCGCGGCTCCCCCAGCGCCGCACCTGGGGGTCCCTCCGGCCGCCCGTGCCCCCGCACTTACTCGGCCCAGTCCCCCGGCAGGGCCGTGCCCCGGGCCCGCCCGGCGCCGCCCGCCGCCAGCGGCTCCACGGAGATGCCGCCGGGGGCCAGGAGGGTGCCCAGAGCGTCCTGGGCCCTGCTCAGCCGCACCCGGGCCGCGTCCCGCGGGGCTCCCCGTGGCTCCAGCGAGCGGGGCGCCAGGAGCACACGGAGCTCCCGCGGGGCCATCGCCTCCTCCATCCTCCTCCTCCTCCTCCTCCTCCGTCAGCCCCCGTCCGCCGCCATCTTGGCGGGGCAGCACCTCCTTCCGCCCAGCTGACCGGGCCGCCCAGTGCGGAGCCGGGACTACAACTCCCAGCACACACCGTGGCGAGGGGCTGGCGGGCGGGGCGGCAATGCACGCTGGGAGATGTAGTTCCGTGAGCCCCGCGGGCGGGGGCAGTGCCGCTCGTGTCTGTGAGCGCGACTCGCCGTGTATGTAAACAGAATTCTCTGCATATTTAATTCCCTATCTTTAAGCAGAATTTCCCGTGTCTTTAAGCAGAATTCTCTGTCTCTGCCTCTTCCTTTGATCTCTGTTGCGGATGGAACTGTGGTTGGACGGGTGGGTTTACGTCAACCTCAGTGTATAAATCTTCCCGCTTTTTACTCCGTCGCGCGCTCGGTTTGTGGGAACATCCACCCTGCCCCGTGCGTACGACAAACAGCGCCTCCTTTCTAATCCTGTCTCAGTGCTTAGAGAGCTGCTCAAATCCCGCAGTGCCGCCGATCTGGGGCTCTCCCGGGGTCCCTCTGTCTGTCCCGAGGTCCCTCTGTCAGTCCCTGAGGTCTCTCTGTCCCCACCCAGGACAGCGGGAGGGGGCGGGCCCACATCCACGCTCCGCCCCCTAGGTGGGGCCAGCACAGCACCCTCCCCGTCCATTGGTCCAGCCCCTCCCCCGGCGCGGCCCCGCCTCCGGCCCCGCCTATTGGCCGTCCCCCTTGTCCCCGCCCCCGGTCGCGCGGGCCGGGCGATGGCGGAGCGCGGCCATGGCGCTGCTGCGGGCGCTGCTCTCGCAGGCGCTGGGCCGGCTCTGGGGCTGCCCCGGCCATAGCCCCGGCCATGCGACCCCGAGCCGCGCCATGGAGCACGACAGGGCCATCGAGGTCTACGGTGACCGCCGGGGGGGCTGGGCGGGCAGGGGGCCAGGGCGCGAGGGGCTGTGGGGCGGGGGGCTGTGAGGGGGCTGGGGGGTGATTTTAGGGGCGTTCCTGCTGTGCCCTCGGGGGGCTGAAGTGAGGGAGCCGTGGCCGGTCCTGCCCTGCCTGCCCAGCCGCGTGGGTGAGAGCTGTGCCCGGGAACCTGGGAGTGTAGGAGCACCCACAGGGGACCCCGGGGGGCTGGAGGGGGCTGTGCTCGGTGTGGGGCAGGAGGAAAGTTTATTTGGCTCGTTCGAGGGTTGGAATCGGGTGGGAAGGGGTTCCCTTGGGGTGCCGGAGGGTGCTGGCAGCGCTGGGGGCAGGGGCAGGGTCTGACCCAGGGGGATGTTGTGTCCTTGGGGTGCTCCCGGTGAGGGGGGACCCCGGGCCAGGAGTGCGGGAGAAGTGTCTCCGCGTCCCTCTGGAGCTGAGGCTGCTCCCAGAGGGGCTGGGAAAGGCCTGGATCGCTGCCCAGCTCAGCCCCTGCCTCGGGGGCACCACTGAACTTTTCCTCACCTGGGACAGAGGAGCAGCTGGACACACCTGGAAGGGCCAGGAATTCCAGAGTGGTCACCAGTGGATCCAGGGAAATGGAGATTTCTGTTACTGAGTGACTGTTTCTGTAAAATGGGGAGAGATTTCACTGCTGGAAGTTCTGCTTGGGGAGGATTCCAAACACCTTGTCAAGCCTCAGGGCACTGTTAGTTCGGAGAACTGAGGAGTGGGGTTTGGGCAACACTTCCCAGCTTTATGTAAAAAGAATAAAAGAGGACACAATGTCAAACAAACTCAGTTTTAAAACTTGACTGGTTTAAATAGAGCTACTCTAAAACACCACTGGCCCTAAGTAAAAGTTATTACTCATAACCTAGGTTGTGAACCTGAGCAGAGAGGCAAATCCTGAGGATTTTGGTTCATCCACAGGGTCAGGCTTGTCCATGACCTCTGCAGAATAAAGCACCTGTCCCTGTATAACTAGATTTGAAAGAGCAGAGGAATCCCTGAAGTGCTGCTGAACTAAATCAGAACTAATGGAACATGAAAAACAAACCCACAGTGAGCAACAAATGCCTCAAGTTGTCCCATCCAGAAGGATTTTGTGAGATAAAGTGCCCCATGTATTTACAGCTCTGCCCCTGCCAGAGGGGGGGCAAAACAAACAGCGCTGGGAAGGTGGTTGATAATGAAAATACCTTTTATTGAATCCTGGAAAGCTGCTTTACTGTTGCTCCCTTGCCTTCTGCTTCAGACATAATCCGGACCATCCGGGACCCGGAGAAGCCCAACACTCTGGAAGAACTGGAAGTGGTGACAGAAGGTGGTGTGGAGGTGCAGGAGATAGGAGAGGATGAGTATCTGGTCACCATCAGGTTTACACCAACAGTACCTCATTGCTCCTTGGCCACTCTCATTGGTGAGCTTTGGGTCCCTGAATTGGGGACCATGAGCAGGAGGCTCTCTGGGGGTTGTCTGAGTAACACCAGGATTAGTTAAAGTTCAGCCTTGTGCTGCTCTGTTGGTGTGACCAGGAATTGCATCTTGAGAGCCCAGCTGGCAATGCAAACAGACCAAAATCCCAAACCAAATCCAGAGAAGTGTGGGGAAATCCATCAGTTTGTATCCAGCCAGGGGAACTCCTCAAAAGGAACCTCTCAAAAACCTCCTGGGAAGTGGTACAGAATTCCTTCTGTGTATTGGCCACGTTATTTCAGTAATGTTAAATTAAAAATTTGTCAGCTCTTAAATTTGAAACCTCTTAAACTTAATGCTTGTCTCCCTTCCCTCTCCCTTCCCTATGGGCTGTTCTCCATTCCCACACACCAAAAATCCCCCCATGCAATCCAGGAATCCCAAAAAAGTCCCGAACCATCAGGAGCTGGAAGGGAATTACGTTAGATGAGAATTTACACTGGCCTGTTTTGCCTTTTTATTTTTCCCTTATGTTTTGTGGTGAGATTTCATCTGAAAAATCCCATCTGAGAGCTCTGAGGTGATTTGTTTGAATGTGCCAAGGTTAGAAAGTCTTACCGCTAAATATCAGAACAAAGGTTTCTCGGTGTATTTTAAAGATTTAAGGGAAATCAAGTCTTTAGTTTAATGAGGAAACTGATGTACTTATGCCCAAATAATTTATATTATTTTTTTTAACCAACTGTTAAACCAAGCATTCCCCTCAGTACAGGTGCAGCTTCAGGGATAGCTGGGAAGCTCTATCAAAAATACCAAAGCACGCTGGAAAGGGAGGAATTTGTCTCTGTTTAGTGTTTCTAGGAGGTGATTAGAGACTAGAGACCCCAAAGCTTGCAAGGCAGGTGTGAACTTACCTGAAAAGCTGCATCCAAGGGGTCAAACCACAAATTCTTTAGTCCCTCTGTGGCTTACACTGCTCAGAATACAAAAGGAGGTTGTCAGTTATACTGATTGTTACGTTTGGATTCTCTGAAAACGCACCTCAACCTGGAATTTTACAAGGAAATCTCTGTTTTGTTTTAACAGGCCTTTGTTTAAGAATAAAACTTCAGAGATGTTTGCCTTTTAGACACAAGGTAAAGTACCTGCTTTGAAAGCTGTTTTGGGCTACATGAATGAGAGACAAGCTCTGAAACAGAGCCTGCGAGGCAGGGAATGCCCTGCTCTGGTGTCAGCCAGGAGCTGGTGGAACAGGCTGGGCATCAGCTAGGCAGTGAAACCTTGGGAACAGGTTTGGAAGAGCACAGGAAAGCTGCAGGATTAAAACACTGGAACTGCTCTGAGGGAATCTTTATGATCCATGTCTTGGGAGCTGATGTGTGGATGGCACATGGCCTGATCCTGCCCATGTGCTGTCCCTGACCCCTAAAACTGTCCCTGACAGGGGCCAGCCCTGGCTGGGGCGTGTGAGGGACTGTAATATATCCCTGGAGAAATCTGTTTGTGTCTGAGCAGGAGCAGAGCAGACCTTTACTGACAAACACAGTGATTTACAGACCTTTAGAGACTTGCCTGAAATAACTTACAGTATAAATTAATTACCTGAGGATTTCTGCTGGTGATTTTCTGGTGGTTGTTTTGTTTTTATAGTTGCTGCCTTCGTCTTTCCAGTTGAACAGTGTAGAGTGAGACTTGTAGAAGATGAGGTAGATGATGTTTTTTGTGGTACCAACCAGGCTCAGGTTCAGAGAGAGCAATTAAAGGCCCAGGGCTTGTTTCCTTGGTTCTTTGGGTCCATCCCTTTCAGATCTCCCTGCGCTCCAGCCTCTGTCAGGGGGTTTTGTTGTTTGTCCCAGGCCTGGTAAACGTTGGAGGTGGTTTAGGTCTGTTTAGATTCCAATCCCATAATCTGTTCCTGGCTGTGTTACACAGCCAAGTTCAAACAGTCTCTGGGATTGTCATCACTGAGCAGAGCTTGTCAGGAGTATCTCCCAGGGAGGTTGTGTTGTGGTTGTGTTGCAGTGAAGTCCAGGATCAGCTCTTTCCATGGATCCCCTCTTTCTCAGTAGGAATGACATGCATTGTGTGTGCACTGGACAATGTTTTTCTTCCAGCACTGAATAAATTCAGCTGTTGTGACTCTTCTAACATTGCTGATCTCTCCTGCAGCTGGAAATCTACATATCTGAGGGCACACATTCCACCGAGGAGGACAGTGAGTAGAGCTTGGGAATGAGCTGCTGCAGCCTGTTTGTGCTGGTTGAGTCCTTCCCTCCCCTGCCTTCCCGTCCTTTCCAGGAATTAATACCCTATGAAAGCTTTAAAATCAAACCTGCCCTTGAGGCTCTTTCCAAAGCTGTGGTGGCTCTGTGACCGTGTGCTTGCTGCTGGGGTGGTTTTTCAGCGCAGTTCTTGCCGGTGTTAAGTTGTGTTTGTGGCAAAAGAAGTCGCTGCTGAATAATTAACATGAAGAACCCACTGGTTGATCTTGCTGTCCCGAAATATCCATAACAAAAATATGTGTTTCTCAGTCAGTGCTTACAGTGAAACTCGAGGGCAGGGGCATTGTCAGAGCCAGAGCCAGGCCCTGCCCTGAGCAGCTGCTGGAGCCCCTGCCAGGAGTGTCCCAGCCTTGAGCACTGGGTGTCTTTGGCAAAAGTTGGTTATTTTGGTGAAATAACTTAGCAACTGAACCTGGAGA